AAAAAAAAAAAAGGAAACCATAAAACAAAGAAAAGGAACAGTTTAGTGAAACCACAACCTTTGACAAACATACACATACATGTCCCCTGTTAATGGGCTGAATTATATCTCCCCAAAATTCATATGTTGAAATGCTAACCCCTAGTACCTCAGAATGTGACTGCATATTGAGATAGGGCATTTAAAGAGATAATTAAGGTAAAATAAGTTCATATGGATGGACCCTGATTCATATCGACTGGTATCTTTATAAGAGAGTAGGACACAAGCAGAAAGGCAGAGGGAAGACTGTGTGAAGACACACGGAGAAGACGGCCATCTACAAGCCCAGGAGAGAGGACTTAGAAGAAACCAACCTGCTGACACCTTGACGTTGGACTTTTAGCAGCCGGAACTGGGAGAAAAGAAATTTCTGTTGTTTAAGCCACCCAGTCTGTGGTGTTTGTTATGACAGGCCTAGCAAATTTATACACACACACGTACACACACACAGACCCAAGAGCAAGTCACTGGGCTGACCCATTCAATGGGACAACCATGTTATAATGAAATGAAGACATATCTGACCAGTGGAAGCAAAACAATGGTCAATTGTCCCACGTACCTGCAGTGAGGGTGGACCCTGCTGTGGAAGGCTCAGTGGTCAGAAGATCTGTGGCTGCCTCTGGAAGGGAGCTTGGGGTTGTTAGAGGGCACGTCTTTGCTGTTGTTGCCAAGGCAGTGGTGGCTCTTGTCTGAAGTGGTGTTCTGGTTGTGAGGTCAGGTGTAGTCACAACTGTTGTTGGAAGCACAGCTGTGGTTGTCATGATTTGAGGGGTGGTGGTCAGGTGCATGGTTGTGGTTGGCCATGTAGTTGTGGTTGGATGCGTGGTTGTGGTCGGCCGCGTGGTTGTCGTCGGGTGTGTGGTTGTCGTTGGGCGTGTGGTTGTTGTTGGGTGCGTGGTTGTTGGGGCTGAAACCAATAGAAGATATGTCTGGCCTCAATCCAAGATGGAGGAAAAGGGAAACAACACAAATGTATCTGGCATCCATCCATTTATCTCTATTTCAGTTGCCCTCACCTGGTTCATTAGACTGGACCACCATAATACCAACTAAAATTGGGTTTCTTGCCTCCAGTCTCATTTCTTCCATCCTGTTCTTCACATATTGGCTAGAGTAATCTTATAAAGTGACAAATCTAATGATGTCCATCTCCTGCTTAAAACTTTTACCTTGCCCTTAAGATAAAGAACCCAGCCCTGCACCTGAGCCTACAAGGCTCCTCTGTCCCGGCCCTTCCTTTCTTTCCAATCTCATGTCTCCACTCCCCTCTTCACACTTTTCCCCAGCCAACTGGCCTTTCTTCAGTTCTTTGAACACATCAGTGACCTTCCAGCCATAAGAACTTTTGTGCTTGCTACTTCCTATTTTCGCTCTTCCTTAGGCTGACTCCTACTTAACTCTCCTGTCTCAGCTAAAAGGTCACTTCTGCAAGGTGGCCATCCAGATTCTGCAATAACAGTTAGGCTTCTCTTATACGCTGTCATATTTTACCTTCACAGCATGCATTACATATCATAAATACATATTTATTTGATTGTTATTGTTTAACCTCTGCTTCTCCCACTAGACTGTAAACTTCATGAGGGAAAGTCTGGTACTTATTTTGTTGTCTGCTACAAATCCAATACCTATCACAGTGCCTGGCACATAGTAGGTGCTCCAAAAACATTGCATGAATGTGTAAATGAATGAATGCATCACAGACTATGCAAGAATGGGCAGGAGTGTAGTCTCTTCAGATACTAAAAATTGTTTCATGCCAATACCACTCACCCACTAAACATCTGAATTTGGGTTCATTAGCCACAGTCTATTCTACAGATCTCAGCCTCTCTAGACTATGCCAAATTTCCATTGACTCTAACGGACTGGAAAGATGACATTTATTCCACGTGAACTTGGAAATGACCCCATAGGTTATTGAGGTCAAGTATTTTATAAAATAATAGCTGGTTATACCATGTTTGAAAAGAGAAGTCTTGGGTGGAATCATTTAACTTCAATAAATCTCATTTTCCTCTTCTGCAAAATCAGAATAATACCTTCTATCTTATAAAGTTGCTTTAAGAGAAAAATAAACTAATATGTGTGCGAGTTCTCTCATTAGAAGCATCCTCATCAGTTGTTCTCAAATTTTAGTGTGCCTTAGAGTCACCTGAGAAGCCTAAGACTCTATAGATCTTCAGACCCTGCCTTGCAAGGTGCTGATCCAGTTAGGAATGGAGCCCAAGAATCTTGCAGGTGATGTTGATGCAGATGGTATATACAGCTCACTTTGTGAAGCTCTGTTTCAGACAAGTACTAAAGGTTATTACTGTTAGCATAATTCAACCACAGGCTCAAAGCAGCTCAAATCTTTGGGAGTCCCACCATATTCAAATTTCCTCAAAAGCAACTGACAGTTACAGAAGGAAAGAGCACCTGAAAAGTGCTAGGACAGCCTCCAAATCCCATGCCCGTGCTCCTCTGCCAGAAGTCACAAACTATTGGCTTACAGGCTGAAGTTGACCTATGGACACATTTTGTTTAGATCACATGGCATTTTTAAAATTATTATTTCAAAATCTGCCAATGTGCAAAAATCAGTATAGTTCACATAAAAATTGGGAGTTCTGAAAACACTGGGCCCAAATTTCTGCAAGGTGACCATCTTCCAGATAAGTAGCAGCTGCCCTCTTCAGACAGACCCAGCAATTCACTGCTTCCCTTCCCCCTCCTCTGCCACCACTCATTTCTGTGGGTAGTTGAACTTACCTGCCTGCTCCATATTGCTCCTCCTCATTTCAAGTTTAATCTCCCCACTCACTGCTTAAGCAACTGCAACCTCCTTTCCATACACTGAATCCACAACCTGCTAATAACTGAATCTCTCCTTCCACAGACGTGCACCCCTCCATGTGCTCACCTCTCAGCAGCAGGCGAATGTTCTGCTTCACGTCATTGAACCAGCCAGGCACCTCTATGCGGCAGCAGTACACGCCGCTGTCATCTTTATTGGTGTTTGAGATGGTCAAGGAGATATCGCCTGCCCAGACTCTCCCCAGGAGTTTGTACTTTGCTGATGAACTTGAGATCACCCTCGTTCCATCCGTGTGGAGAAGCTCCTGGTTGCATTTGGACTTGGGACACGAGCCTCTGCCCCAGCACATGCTATTGCTTTGCGAAGACCAGGATGCATATGTACAGGGCAAAGTCACCGACTGACCCAAAAATGCCATCACAACAATCTCTGATGTGGCTGGTGCTGTGAGGAAAAATGAGAAAACTAGGTTGTGCAATGTTAAAATCTCTCAAATATGCTACACAGTTTTTGTGCAAATAGATGCTTCCAGAAAGATGAAGAGGCATAGTCTATATGTTTCTTCAGCATACATTTGGATGTGTCCTTTGGCACTGCTGAACTCCTAACTCCACTTGTTCCCAATCCCCAAGTGAAGAAATTGACCACTTGAGACTCTAAACTCACCTCTACGGAGAGACCTCCTTCATGATTTAAACATTCTGATCTTGAGTACCACTCAACAGACCAACAAACTCTCAAGTGAAAAATCCTGATCCTGTAATCTAGTTCCACTAATTCATGTGCGAAGGTCCAAAACCACACTCTACCTACTGTATCTCAATAAGCAGATATCGTACCCTCCTGAGTGAATGCTCCAGATGGGTCTCCCAGCCCAGAGGGTGCTGTGACAGGAAGACGGGCTGCTAACCTGTACTCCAGTGGCCTCTCCTTTCAGTATTGGATAAGGAAACTACTTGCTCCAGACCATTTGTTTGCTGTTAGCTAATGTGAAGATAGGTGGAGTTCACGGGTTATTTGTTTATTTTTAATTGACATAATAACAGTGTATATGTGTGAGGTACAATGTGATGTA